ACTAATAATATCAGTATCCTAATAATGTGGCCATGGGAACTGAAACAGAGACAATTATGAGATGAGGAGGAAGACTTTTCAATGTATACTTTTAAATTTTTAAAATATTTAACCATGTGCATTGATTTCCTACTTAAAAAACCCCAAATTTTAAAATAAAAGATATAAAAGTAAAGATAATATAGATCAAATAATCCATTCTCCCTGGCCCAGTCACCACTCCTTCCTATGAAATCCTCTAGAGAAATATACCTACAGAGAATTTTGGCAAAAATAAAAAAAAGCAAGAGGCAAAGCAGCATTTATTGATAACTATGCTTTGGTGATCTTGCCCTTGCACTCAGAATAAGAAGCTTCTGATTTTTACCCCTTTGAGGCCCCACATGTAAACAATGTAAACCAATCAGGTATCACAAAACCCGAACACTATGCCTTATTTTGGGGAAATGAACTTTATTGCTCTTGATCTACACTCAGCTGTTGATCTACACTTAGAGAGTGGGAGCAGGGAAGACCCAAGGGGATTAGAGGGAGAGCCTTGTGCTTACCAGGGAGGCTACTGGGGTGTTTCTGAGGCTAAGTTCAGGGGTTTATCCAGCACAGAAGGCAGGGGTTTAATGCTCTTATTGATAAATATTTACACATATAACCTACACACATTGAATCTATAATGTGCATACATTTCTCGCACCTGAAAATCTCTTACTAAACCAAGGAGAAATGTACTTATAGATAAGATAAACACAGTTACAGCATGCATTTTAGATGAAGCATTCTGCACACTAGGGTAGACTCAAAACCGTTTGCTATGAAGGCCCTGGAAATCTGTACATATATCCGATCATTTGCATACTATTAAATAACACTTTTGCAACAAAACTAGAAGGCAATGAAGCTGTATCCACGTGTTTTCTGACCTACTTGATCAATGCTGCCCTAAGAGCTTCAGGGATTGAATATTTCTTGTGTGGCTCTCAATTGTGCTTACAATTTACATAAATTGTAAGTTTAAATGTAGGATGATGATAACAGTTCACAAATTCTAACAAGCAGCTATCTAAAGTCTTTGGAATATAAGATCTCTGGATAGCCAAAACTCCTAATTAATTGAGGATTACAACTTTAATCAACAACACATTTCTTTAAATAATTTAAATATTTTGGGTGAAATTTTTTTAAACAATTTTCAAAGCCTAAAAACTTTGAATTTGGTTGATAATTTCTAAGTCAACACCGTGAACACTGGGCTACACATAATAGATTAACCTATGTCATAAATATACATAGACAATAGATATGATGAGGCCTGTTAAAGTATGTGGGGTCATTTGCATTGGTCTATTTTCCACTTACTTTGTGAGTTTTTCTCTCCCTTACCTTGCTGTAAGTACCCTCATGTAGGAGCTTTTCTCCTTAACTCTAATTTTCTCATTTTACATCTACTACAGGCTTTGAAATTATGTATTGAAGCTTCTTTCAGTAATATGCAACCTAAGATTAGCCCTTGAAATAAGGGCGAAGGAGATCAGTGTCAAGCCATGGGTGTGAGATTTGAATTCAGGCCCTTGAGATTCTCCTTTGGCCGTGTGCAGGTTTACTGCTTCTGCTTTATGCTACATCGAGAGGAGTTTTCTCTGATATGAGTTTAGGTTAGATTCATCATAACTAGAATAAATGGCTACCCTATTATATTTATGCTTTGCATTTTTTTTACAAAAAATAAATTTTATTAAAATTGATATAAAATCCCATGATAAAATATTTTTTAAAAAGAAAAGAAAAAAGTGAGGTCTTTCAAATGTTAGGCAAAAGGAAAGAGCAGACAGAATCAGATATAAGGCTCATCACACAATGCAAGCCAACAACCCTCTACCTTTGCCAGAGATGAGGAACAAAGTTGGTTTTATGCTTTGTAGTCAATCCAAAAAGCTAACAAAATTCATATTGTCTACTTAGTGTAAATAAAACAATTGCTTCAATAAAGCACAAGTTTTTCAGGTAGTGAGTCCAGAAAACAATTACTTCTTAGTTCCTCCTCAAGAAATTACTGTGAAATGTAAAAACAATGTCCTCAGCAATGACTTTACAAGAAGCTCAAAGATGAGTATTAATAGCATAATTCAGTGAAATATAATTCTACAGGAAAAGAATAGATTATAGCTCACCGGAAACACAAAACTACGTATTCCAAAGCACAACTACCAATGGTCTGTGTCTGCGCCTGGTGGCCCAGTGGCACTATCTGTGACAGTGTGTGTCTGCCCCGGTGGCCCAGTGGCGCTGTGACAGCATGTGTCTGCCCCTGGTGGCCCAGTGGCGCTATCTGTGACAGCGTGTGTCTGCCCCTGGTGGCCCAGTGGCGCTATCTGTGACAGCGTGTGTCTGC